TATGTTTTCGAAACTTTTCCCTAACAGTAGGACGTCCTCTACTGGCAATCTACCTGGCTTATTGGGGCCTAAGACACCCGCAGAGCGTTGGGTAGGTTATATTCGTGATTTTTTTCCATATATAAGACAAGCTTTACCACTCTCGCCTTGACAGTTGTGAAAAGCTCCCTTGTTCGTGTGGTCTCGAATGCGAGGCTGTCCACAGAAGCCCCCCCCCTCCCTCCTTTTTTTGCTCGACTTTACCTCGGTTCATAACCTTCATTGCTCTGAATAGAAACCAAGGTTACGGCGCATTCCAAAAGCAAGCGTTTGATGCTGAAAATGTTATTCTTGATGCTCCCCTCGGAAGCGACATGTCCTTACAATTAGGACAAGGTTTCACGGTTTCCCAATAAAAGGAAACATGCCACTTGTCTTATGTCACTTGGAATTGCCTAGGCGTTCCTCTATGTCGTCACTTTCCAAAATTGATTTTTCAGTGCAATAACGATTCATTACTGTGGTGATTAATGAGGTTATAATTCAGCCTTGAAAACCCTTGTATCGTAAACTGCTGTCTAAGGACTTCAAGTATCATAATCAAACAAATCGTAATTACCCTGTTTTCTGGAGCATAAGGCGCACCTACGCCTCGAACGCCGCAAATGATTTCTCTCTTGATTCGACCCCCCCCCCCATTCTCCATATTATGTTCCACCGTTTCGAAGAATCGCCGAATAGTTATGTACCATTCAAGTGATAGTTTTCATCACTTTGGCGTCAACGCGCTCGAATCGTCAAAAATTCCAAGGAATCCTTTGGAAATCTCAAAACATCACGCAGAAATTGGAATTTTTCTGGATTTTATTTGGATGCTTTGCGGCTGTTCATTTGAATAATCACAAGTCCAGGACGCTAAGTCATATAAATTATAGCTAGCATTTGTTCGGACCAAGTCTTTTGGAGTTGTTCGGGTGTAGAAGAAAACTTTGTGCCTTTCGGTCCAGCTTCCCAATATTCTCATCGTTCCTGTTACTCCTTCAAAATGGTGGCTTGCTCGATTACCCCGTGCACAGGAGTATGCTGATGTTTTTATTACAATATGGAATTCAGTTATGTGGATGGAGCACTTTATCAAATGAGAACTTCATTTTACAATATTTGCTTGCTGTTATGTTTTGAACTCCCCACTAATACAATTACTTTGAAATAAGACTTTCAAGATGCTCATTCCCATTGTCCCTTTTTAAAGTTCGTTTTCTGGTATAAGTATAATTCCACCGGGAAAAGGGTTTCCTGGTGTGAAAATTCTTGTTACTGGAAAACCCCCGAGCTCCCATCGAATTTTTGACAAAAAGCAACAATCATATAGCCCTCTAGATTTTTTTTGAGAACGTCAATTTTTTTCAGAAAAATATCATATATAATGTTAAGAATAGAATTTTTATTTAGAATTGGAGGGGGGGGCTTTGAACTAGATTTATCACTCTGACTCTCTTAAGTATCTATAGAAATGATTCGTCTAAAATTTCATAACAGAAGTATGCTTCTAGATGCTGTGCCACAGATTCGAGGAACTATTCGGTTGATATCTCTATGATATTTTAGGAAATTGTATGTCAGAGTACATGGGGCTGATTGTCGGTTGTTACGAGGCCAAAGAAGGAGGATTCCGTCCTGGAGGTAGGCGAATTTCCCCGAGATTCAACTTGAGCAGACGCTGGGCGGGTCAAGAGACTGGGTTTGGTGCGTGCTAGCCCGTTTTCCACCAATTGTTGTCGCTTGTCGTTTCAATCATTGGTGGAGAACGGGCTGGAATCGACCCAAACCAGATCTCCTGACACGCCCCGGCGTCTTCAGCGAAAATGACTGAATCTTCTAATCTGATGATTCAGGTGCATCGCTGCACTCGATGATGACACCACATGGCCCAGACAAGACCTGTTTCGATAAGGCGTCGAACGAAACGTTGAAGCCGCAACGTGTAGCAGAAGGAACCATGGTATGTTTCCGCTAATACAAATGGCTAAAATTTTAATGCTATCGCATGCGAGTACTGTAGCTCTGATGTAGCTAGCTGATTATAACACGGCAACGATATGTCACTTGGTAGACACAGAAATATCAGCGTATAGTCCTAAACATACGCACTGATCGTACGCGTAATACCAATTAAGTCTGCTATTATTAAACACCATTTGTAAGACTACGATATATAATGAATTACGTCCCCTAAGAGCCCAGCTCGAGTCAATATACACCGACTCCCTAACCAAGCCGCCGGAAACGGAGAGAATTACAAGATTATAGAGGTCAGATCAACAGTACTCAGCTAGACGTGTAGTGTATATAAATAGATTACGATGAGATTCCAGCGTCTCAAAAAACTAACCTGCCGCTCCACACACATATGCAATGCGATCTGGATGGGACAGGTGCGCCTCAGTCAGTTCCTCATATGATATGCTTCTGTATTTTGGTGCCTTACTAGTCGGCCTCCTGTTGCGATAGTACGTCGGTAGGTAGGCTAAGACTCGTAGTCGGGTATTTTCACAAAGCCAAACTCATTCGGACCCAAAAAGGCTAACAGTAACAATCACGAGTCACTGATCACCATTTTTGCTTGGGTAGCTTATGGGGATCAAAGAGGATAGTTTAGGAGGTAAATGAAAACCCTCGAGCGGGTGTTTTGGTTGGAATTCTCACCCTGTCTTACACTCTATTCCTCCCTTCTGTTGGCTTTTCATTCCGTTCCGCAGATTTATGATCAAATCGTTCCATGATGTGAATTTCAGAGACAAGGACTTTATTTAGACGGTGGCCAGTCGTTCAGTAATGTAGAAAAGTGCCCTTTCGAAATGCTCTACAGAGTTCCGATTCGAATTAACTGCATGGAATTAACTCCAACTTCTACCGCTCCCTCCCTGTATCGGCGCTATTCAACTATTACTACCGCAACTTTCCGGAAACAAGCCAGATCTTGATCGACTTTTTTTTCTACGGGGACAGAATTTTGGCTGAAAGTTGGCTAGGGATAGATTTTGGACCGCTTGAACAACGAGTATCGACATCCACTTGGCCTGAAAATCGGGTTGCCTCGGCCACAGCCGCCGGTGTCCTAAAGCCTCAAATTAACCGAAATTCGCCGAAAACATATCCCCAGAGGTAGTTTGACCCAGAGGTAGTTTGACCTCCTGAACACAGATATCACATCCGCTCCACCCGAAACTGCCTGCCGCCTGCGCCACAGGCGCCAGCGCCAAGCTACCTACTAGTAACCTACTAATATCGCGTTGAGAAAGTTGTACTCAGGGGTAGTTGACCTCGACTGATTCGAATATCAACGTCCGCTCGGTCTGAAACCTGCGCAGGCGACGGACGCCAAAAATATCCTGGGTCACCAAATTCCGCTGAAACTTGAAAAATACGTGAAAGGTTATTTGTCAGCTTGATTACAACATCGCAATTCATTTTTTTGGCGCGACGCTCAGATGAAGACGGCTGCGATGCATGTGCGCTCTGCTAAGGCTGAGCCTGACCTGAAGGAAATCACTCTTTCTCCCAGGCTCAGCCTTAGAAAAGCGCTAAATGGCGCTGGCGTCGAAAAATAAATGTCATATTCGTGATCAGGGCATCAAACAACCCCATTATGCGGTTTTTATCGATTTTGAAATAAAAAAGGGTGAGGCGCACCGAATCACAGGCGCCTAATGGCGCCAAAGTGGCGGTCAGAGCTCATTAATCTGGATATTCATGAATCAGGAACATCGAGTAACGCCTCTGCAAACTTACGTGGGGCGCTAATGGCCGCCCAAAATTGTACAAAAGCGGACGAAAACGAATGCTATAATTCGTGATCAGGACGCTCAATAAACAACTACAATATCGTGGGCGGAAGCTTCAGCAAAAATATTTTTCTGGACTTTTTGGGGTAGACGTTGATTAGTGCCGCCGTGTGTCGTTCTACATAGCAAAAAGCTATATCACAAAATTAAGTAGAGAAACGTTAAGGTGTGTGACTCCTACGAACGGTTACTTCTGTGATCGAAAGGATTCGTAACACAACAGTTTATTGGGAAACAACGAACACTTATACTACAAAGGAAAAACAAATCACTAGCGCTCGATTCGCCAAGATTCGTCTTGGCCTCGACCTGAAATGGAAAGAGGATAGGGTACTTACCGGGGTCGACGGTGACTGGGAATGGCGAGGCGGGTAGGCCACCAGCGGAGAGCGGACACACAGAAGAAGTGAACTCACGGTGCCCACGAGCAATAGTCTCATCTATACATTCATACGAGCGAGACGATACGATAGGCTTATCATCCTCTACCCGTTCATTCTAGCATGCCCTCTTGGAGTGGCTGGTGGGCTGTATGCCCGCTGGCAATCTCCTCTTTAACATGCCTCCCCGTCGCGGAGTCGTCGACCTCGGCGACTGTTCGAGCTCAGGTAGCCCAAAATCGATTGCCTTCTTACGAATTACCAAATACAACAGTTTGGCTGCTGCCACACACCGGGGTAAGCATTAATAGAACTGGCTCCGCGGACTCGGGGCTACCTGCATGAGTATACACTTTTTTCCATCTATGATTCGCGTGTCAGCTGTTGTGCAAACCTGCTCGGTGCTGCCAATTTTCAAGAGTGACTCGTCTAACATTTGCCACAAACTTGTCATTGCTTTCCATTCTTTTTCGATCGAAGCCGTTATTGGGGTCCATGCTGTTACGATTTTTCCCCCGTTTTCCAAATGATTCTTCGCCGACTTCATTATCTCTTGGATCACTTTTTTATTCCCTTTGCTTTTCTCGGCGGAAATAACGGATAAACCCCACGTTGCGCATAACGTTGTCTATGGTTCGGAGTAAGATCTCTGAGTTTTATGATATGTGATAACGACTCTTGTCACCAGACCATTTCTTGGACCATCGCGTTCCATCAGAGATGCCGTCTCGGGTGCTGCGAACCCAGTAGGACCCTGTTTGGGATTTCTGCAACCTTGAACGTCTTTTTGTAAGTCCTTCTTTAGTTGCGAGAAAGCAGGTTTGTAAAAGTCGATGATGCATATATCAGTATCGATAGGTCATCTTGTTATATCTTTGCGTTGTGCATATGAATCCAGTCCATCGGTGGCACACACGCAAAGCGACCTTGAGGACTCTCGCAAAAGCGCTCTGTGTCTAGTGATTAACACTGACTCTCTGTTTCTGAGAGCCTCAGACTTTCCTCGGCAATGCTAAGTTCGTCCTCTGATAAAAATTGATGCCGGTCTTCCATCTGTCCATGGAGATCTCACAAAATGGTGTCTGCTGTAGGCACCCGGAAACTGGATGCCTTGTATGTCATTCAGTGTGGTCTTCGCGAAACAATCATCCACACACTGGAATTGAAGATGACCTTTATCGGCTGGGCTCAGCAGGACTGCTCCTCTGGAACTTCCATAAGTCTGCACACTCTAACTCTGGTTCCCTTCCCTTTGCGACCCCTGACATAGATGCTGTAATGACTGTGATTAGAGATATTCTTTTTGTCGAGACCCGCCCAAGTTAAGGTGTGTGACTCCTACGAACGGTTACTTCTGTGATCGAAAGGATTCGTAACACAACAGTTTATTGGGAAACAACGAACACTTATACTACAAAGGAAAACAAATCACTAGCGCTTGATTCGCCAAGATTCGTCTTGGCCTCGACCTGAAATGGAAAGAGGATAGGGTACTTACCGGGGTCGACGGTGACTGGGAACGGCGAGGCGGGTAGGCCACCAGCGGAGAGCGGACACACACGAAGAAGTGAACTCACTCCCCACGGCTAGTCTCTCCTATATCATTCATACGATACGAGACGATACGATAGCTTATCTCTTCTACCCGTTCATTCTAGCATGCCCTCTTGGAGTGGCTGGTGGGCTGTATGCCCGCTGGCAATCTCCTCTTTAACGGAAACGAGGCAGAAGACAGTAGTATTACTAAACTTCTGATGGTACCCGTTCAGTGTCATGATGTAACCCATAACCCAATCATGACTTGAAAACAGAAGATGTTCTGCTGGTTGTGCTTTACGGTATCGTGGAGCACAGGAAAGGAAGCGTGTGGTGCTTCTATCGTCGGCTCGTCGCCCGGTGGGCGAATGAGCGAGGCGGCGTGGCGGCCGCCGCATACGAGTTTTGTTGGGTGGCGTTCAAATTGTTAATGGGTCGACGATCCCTTTAACAATTTGAAAGAGGCACAGCTTGCTGTGCCGTTGCTCCAATGACAACTCGGGAGTACGGTAATGCAACTCCGGGATTGCCGCGTCGCGGCGTGCCGCGCAGCGATGCGGCGCGGCGTGTACGGCGTCGCCTGACTTGCCGACGATAGAATCGCCCGGGTGCCGGGGAAATACAATTTCACAGAAATCGTGTCTTCGAGTAATTTGCAATTAAGACGGAAGGTGGGGCAGCATCCTTTGATATTCTGGTATCACATAGCTTTCTCGTGGAACTCTAAAAAATCTAAATAAGTAATAATGCGGCGTATATTTGGAAGCATATTGACATAATCTGGGCGAAGTCAATGTTGAGGTGCGGATCTCACTTCTATCCACATTTCAGTCGTTCATGTTCGAGAGTTCGTTGAATATGGTGATCACGGATAATGCTAAACATGAGAACGTCGACCGCGATTATTACAAGGACTGGCAAAAACTGGAGAAGCATTTCAAGTATCCTGCGTAAGTTTCACTCTTATGTTTGAAATGACCTGCATAGGGGCCGCACTGCATAAGAGAGCTCTGCTAGCGACCTTTTTTGCCTCGCGTTAGGAGGAACACAGGCGGAAAATGCTCGAGCTCCTAAACACAGCTACTTTTTTAGGAGGCTTTTCCACATGTTTAATGAGAAATATTTAATGAGAAATATGCCAACATCAAAATTCTTTGTTCTCGTTCACGTATTGGGTGCTGCGTTTGTTTTCAGGGCTTCGCGAAGTACGTAGCTTTCTCAGTGAGGTGCTGGCAAGAACAAAATACTTCAAAGGCAGCGTGTTTGATAAGATTTGAGTAATTTTGGGATAAATGTTTGGAGTACAGATTCTTTTTCATTTCTATTCGCCGGTAGCCACCGTAGCATATCTTGTGCACTGTATTCCTTTTCTATTATTTTTGCAACTTTGCTTTGTACTTTTGCTATGTACTTGTTATTTAAAGTGACAAGGCTTAGTGAAGGGCGTGAATGAGCGCTCCAACTATCGGCCCTGGCACATCTTCACCAGGCAATGGCTACGCCAAATATCAAATTCGGTCTACAGGTTTGTCATAAATACTTTCATCTTCGAGTTGATCATACCTTCAGGTGTTCAGCGCGGCAACGTGATACCCGCAGTTTCCTTAAGCTCTCTTAGGTCCTCCTATTTAGCCCATTTTAGCAGCTTTGGAACAGCATTCACAACTTACAGGCAGCTCTTTGTGCTTCATTGCGCTATGCTAATAAGGAGCGTGCTGTCACTGGGTTCACCCATCAGGAGGCGTGACCTCTAAGTGGGCGGGGTTTCTAAAGTATGAGCAACTTCTGAGTAAGGTATTAGTCTTCGTGACCTATTCCACCGCGTTTAGGGTGTCTGCAGCAGAAAACCTGTTCAGATCGACCAGAGGATTGTAGCCAGTTGATGTGGGCATTGATCCGTTTGACGCGTTCAGACTTCGCGATGACGCGCTACCTTTCCAATAGCTCTGGCAATCAGTAGTTGAAATTTGATTTGATTTTATATAGTGTCTTCATGTTTATGATGTTAAAACAAATTTTTTGTTGAAGTTTTTGCCATATAGCGCAGCCACCGCATGGATCCATTCGGTGCCAGCCACTAGTGCGCCGAAGAATCTAGGAGAATAGGAGAGTAGTGTAGTGATCTCCTTTTCTCCTACACTTCTTTTGGAACGCTAAAGCGCCAGTCTGATACTCTCCTAACCTCCTATACTCTCCGAAATATTAGCGATCGGCGGCGATCGATACCCGTCTGGCACTGGAGCGCTGTTGAAGCGGTAGCGCGTCGCTGCGCGTCATCGCGAGGTCTGAGCGCCGTCTCGCCCACTGCTCTTACCATCAACACACGGTTTGCAATGTCAGCTGTTGAACTTTATTGGGACTACCTTTTTCAGGCGTACCACGTGTGCTAGCCACTGAGTCGGAGGTGTTTACCCTGGATGATCATGAAGATGAGCGGCGAATGAACGATGAAACTCATCATCAGTAAGTTGATAGCTCTCCTCCTTTTGAAAGTTTAGTTGGAGGTTTGTCCTGATTTCAGTGAAGAAACTGAGAAAAGTCGGTTATTCGATTGTCCTTTGGATAGCGATGAAGAGAAGGAAGCACCACATGATGACATCATGAATAACATACGCCAACACAGTAGGTTTTTCAGATCTTGAACCCCTCGAAAATGAATGGCAAGGACGTCGTGTTGTGACGGTTCACGCCCCCCAGGGCAGAACACGCCCATTGACAATCTTCAATTGATTTTTGGCGTCTAGTTTCTTGTCCGCTCGGCGTCTCTTCACGGAACACTTGCACAGTGCTCAAAATCAGCCGCCAAAAATTCCTTGACCCCACAGATACCACCACGATGGTCTATATCTTCGATGAAAATACACCATTTAAACGCCCTCT